TTGATGGAAACCCAAATTCAAAGAAGACAATAACACTCAATGAAAAGGAATACGAGACTGAATTGTATTAATATCAGAAAAAGAAATACAGCAGAAGAGTGATCTTCTCCTGTCCCAGAGCAACGCTCCTAATAGAGTAACCCACAAGGTTTTCTCTATTCCCACACAAAAGCAAATGATTCAGCATATCCCCCTCTCTCTAACTCGTGCTACTAAATAACCGAAAAGATCTCATTCTCTCTCTCCTCTAACCACCCGGCCTTCGTATTCCAATGTTTATTCTGCACCTCTCTTCTTCCTACGTGTATAGACCTTCCATTCCTTGGGAGCCTTATTGTCATAGTGGGCCAAGCTGTCAAGAGGCCCATGAACATCTTGGACTCTATCAGATCATGTGACAAACTATAACAATCACATGGAAAACACATTCCGTTAATAACTTGATTGTCATTAAATGGAAGGATCAATTATGAAGCTTCTGATAGTCTTTGGGTTTAATTGGCAGATAAAAGAGTTCATAGTGGCTAGTTACAAATGGCCAAATGTTCATGATAGATTGGAAAAGAAAGACCTAGATCTTTTTTGGCTGAATAAGACCTTTTATCTTTATTTAAACATAATTCATACATTATATTTAATTTGATTAAAATTTAAGTGCAAGATTGATAGGTAAAATAACAAGAACCAGCAACATACCAGAAATAGACCAGGAACAATTCCCCTGTAAAGTGCACTAAATCCTTCCTCCCTCATTATGGTTCTAAATGCATCTGAAATTTAATTTTTACAGATAAAAATTTCATGACTGGTTAGTAAGTCATGATGAAAAACAGAACCACAATAAACAAAATAAATATTGACTATCATGTTTTAGGTAGTTCAGTGAAACATAACCACCCTGGCCCCCAAATCAAAAAAGAAAACTCAACTTATGCACCTAACTCTTAGATGTTGAAAATTCCTTTCTTAAAACAAGTGAAATCATTCGAGTCTGTTTGGATACAAGTTTAGAAGCACTTTTGAATGCTTCTCTACTAGGAAAACTCCTTATTTTTAGTAAAAAGGCTCTCAAAAACAATTTTAACTGGTATCCCAATAGACTATATAAATTAAAGCTTAAAACTAATTTTTCCCCCCCATAACCAGTATAAAAATCAATATCATACAAGACAATGCAATGGAATAAATAGGATGAATGCATATGCTTAATGCTGGTTAGTAATGAATGACTGAATACACATATAGCAGTGATAGAGAAACAACCACGAATCCATGACTATTTTTGGATGAGAAAGATAAACACTCAGTCAAATACAAAGACTCAAATTAAACTAATTGGTGAAAATGACCTATCTTTCAACTTTTGGACTAGTTTCAAATTTAATTTAGGCTAAGGTGATCTACAGCCAAAGCAGAAATAATATGAATACTATAAAAAGAAAAATCCCAAAGTGAACAATTTAAAATAAAGTTAACTTAAAAAGGAGAACACACCATAAATCCCAGAGTATGGTCGTCTCTGATGAAGAGGAGTTTGAAGCTGCAATCTTGTCTTTACTAGCCACACAGGATTTGTACACAAGGAAACCTGACAAAAGGCAATGGAAACCAAAATAACTGGATGTTGACTTTTGCCCCCATTCGGGTATGTGACACATTGCAACAATATGTTTGGTGCTTTGCAATCCAGAATCAAAAGCATCCAACTAGGAAAGCTAAGCAATATCTCAAGGATAAGCACACAGATAAGGATATAGTAAACTTAAGTGTATTAATTCCATTCTCACAAACAATTCAAAGTTCAAACAATAATATTCATAGCAAATTCATCAATACAGCTCACCTAAAGTACTTCATTGTGGATTTGATTCCTCTAAAGTGAATTTAAATTGAGGGATTCACTTTACAGAATAAAGGAAGGAGTTATATCCATCAATGAAAAATGAAAATCAAGGGAATAGATTTAAATGTTTCATATTTTATTATACATTATTACATTAACATGTATTTTATCACAGTCTCAATTGTTTATTTTTAAATCAATGTCCTTAACTTTTCCCTTTTCCCTTTAAAGTGAGTGCCTCAGTTTGGGTGAGTCAAATCCCTTCACTGTATCACCTTTCATCTCCCTATAGCCTAACGGTGACAAAATTTAAAAATGCAAAACCGCAGGGGCAGCAGAAACTCAACTCCAAGATCCAAGGAAATGCCAGCAGGATTGTACAATTCATAATATTGGGATTTTGTGCACTCACCAAAGCTCCTGCTTCAGCAGCTGAAGCAAGATGAAGACCTGGACTCAACTTTCCGTCCCTGTTCCTAGCATATCTTTTTTTGGCTTTGTCATAGCTGCAATGGAATGGTATCACACAAAAGCACATTAACATCTGCACTATCCTCGTGGCATCAAACTTAGGGCAAGGGAAATAAATTGCAGATTAAATTTAAGAATTAATGAAGCCAGTTTATCTGACTCATTATCGCACCCTTAATTTAAGGGAAATGTTAGCATTATCTGACACATTATTTTAAATGAATATTTACGGGATAACGAATCTTATTTCAATAATAAACACGAGGGTCACACGTGACTTTATTTTCAAGTTGATATGAAATATTCTTTGGCCCGAGTTATTGTATATAAATCAAGAAAAATTAATAAATACATTAAAAATTAGTAATTTAATAAAATGAATTTTATTTAAAAAAAATAAAAATATATAACTATTTTTTTTTTAAAATACAAAAACGACACTTGTTAGGAGAGTAATAGAGTATTATTCTGGGTGTGTGTCGTGTGTTTTTACCCATAAACTTGGGAGGAACGTATTACGAAGTACGAAGTATTCAAACATACAAATCTCTCACCGAACAAGCTTTGTGCTTTGCACTGCACGTGAAAGAGAGAAGCTCCCAAGTCCTAACAAACATAACGAACCACACTTGGGTGTGGCAGCCACAATCTCCATGTTTGAATCGAATGACGCATAAAACGATTACTCTGAATCTCAAGTTTCCCCATGTGTCAACGGAAGCGCCCAAGCGCGACCAATGGCAGTGGGAAAACGTCGCCGCTGGCGCCGCCGCCGGATTCACCACCGTCGCCGTTATACACCCACTCGATGTTGTCCGAACTAGGTTCCAAGGTTCTCTCTCTTCACATGTAAACGAATATTTCTGATATTTTCATGCTTTCGATCCTTAGAAGCGTTGTTCGTTTCTGCAGTTAACGATGGTCGAGTCTCTCACCTTCCTATTTACAAGAACACTGCTCACGCCATTTTCACCATTGCTCGCTCCGAGGTTTGTGATTTGTCAATTGACCTACGCCGGTGTTTTTGTCGATTAAGGCTTCAATTATCAATTTTGCTTTTTGATTAATTAAATTCTGCAATTTTGTGCTGTTTATTCTACTTGTTAGGATTTTCGTGTGGCCTTGAGAAAGGGAATTATCTTGATTGCTGAACCTTCTAGGCATAGATAAAGCTGTTAGAAATATATAGAATAAGAATTGCATAACACCTTTACTCCCAAGATAGTATGGCTGATGTTGAGCACAAATAAATCTGATAAATGTGATAAACTCAGCACTATGGTTTCTGGTGTTTATGAAGAGTGAAGAAACATTAATAAGATTAAGGCCTGAGATCATATGGCATTCCGCTAGTATTGAGGTCCATGCAAACCAAATTTTGGTGACAAATATAGACATATAAAAAATGACACCACATTTACATGTGGTTTTTTCAAATTATAGAAGTTATAATTATAAGACATGGAAGGGCTCAGCTACAACATATAAAAGTATCCAATATGATATGTGTGCAACAGTGGTAAAAGCATTTTGGATTGTCTGTTTCAAGAGTGATAATTGTGCCTATTTTTGGCCCAACAAGGGGCGGGGGGGAAGGGTTCTTGCCTGGAAATGATGAATGGTTGCCTCTTGTATTTTATTGATGGGATTGGTGTTGACAAATTCACACCTGTTGCAAATTGCAAAAGGAGAGAAACTTTTTCTTTAGGTACTTTGTGTATGTTATACGATGAATGTATTACTTATATGTCATGCTTTATCTTGCAGGGTTTAAGAGGATTATATGCAGGCTTTCTTCCTGGGGTTCTGGGGTCAACTATTTCATGGGGTTTATATTTCTTTTTGTAAGTACCAAATTCGGTCGTGAGACTTTAATTGTATAAAATTAACTTTTAACCTATCATTTTTATATCTAATGCTAACTAGAAGAGAATGATATTATATAGGATAACTGACTCATGTTTGTGCATATATGCATCCTATTCAGTTAAACTTTAACTAGTTTCAGTAAGTTTGAAAATCTCTCTCTCCTACTCAAACTTGGGGAGAAAAACATATCTAACTCTAACTTCTTTCTCTTAGTCAGGACCAAATCAATTTGTCAATATCTCCTATTCTGCAGTACATAATGGTGGAAGAATTTTTTTTTTTCTCTATGTAGAATTTACATGCCACACTCACTATTCATTAGTAGTCAAGGCTGGTTTTGGAATTCGTGTTTGTATGATATGATATGACCCTGTAGCAGTTTCATTCAACACGTAACAACTTCAGGAAAATCACTGTTCTTTATCATGTCAATGGAATATGGATTATCCTCCCCCTCTATTTTCCCCTTCCTGACATGAGTGATTTTTTATTATTGATAGAGTGGTTTGTGGTCCATCTTCTTGCTTTCCTAGAAGATTGAAGTCATCATACCAAATATTTTTTTCCATTGCAGCTATGACAAAGCCAAAAAAAGATATGCTAGGAACAGGGACGGAAAGTTGAGTCCAG